CATTCCTATAGGAAGATTGGAGGAAGTAACCCAGAAGGTCACAAGCCAGAATTTTAGCAGAAACAAGAGACTTTGCTTCAATATGTAAAGGGCAAAGACAAACTCCCAAAAGTTGTCCCCTGAACACACCAAGTATGTACCATGCCATATGTGTGTGAATATAGATACACACACACACACACACAGACACAGAGAGAAACAAAGAGAATCAGATAGACAAAGAAAGAGAGAATTTTTTTAAAAAGAAAATAATTCGATGAAGTCTCAGGGATTGTGGACTCAAATCAAATAAATGGCTTCTCTCATTATGTAAGGAGTATATACATCTATACATGGTATGAACATGAATATACCTTCAATCTGTTTTTGAACACATATATATATGCATACACACATATAAAATTTAATCTTGAAAAAATCTTATAAAATGCCGTGGGATAATGCTTTTGCACACTGGTTTAATAAAATGCTGATTGGCCAGCATCCAGGCAGGAAGTATAGGAGGGATAAGCAGACAAGAAGAATTCTGGGAAGAGGAAGGCTCAGTCAGGAGACACCAGCCCATCGTCCAGGGAGCAGCATGTAACGGCACACTGGTAAAGCCACGGAATACATGGTGACATATAGATTAACAGAAATGGGCTGAGTTTAAGTATAAGAGCAAGTCAGTGGTAGGCCTGAGCTAATGGCCAAGCAGTTTTGATTAATATAAGCCTCTGTGTGTTTACTTGGGTCTGAGCGGCTGCAGGATGGGGGCGGGTGGGAGAGATTTGTACTGACCACAGGCCAAGTGGGCACAGGAAAACTTTCAGCTACCATAAAATACTGTTACCAGTGAAATCAGAGTTTTCCTTCTGTAGAATGTTGGACTCCTTAGTAAAATAATTTAAATACAGACTCAGAAGAAAGCTCAAAGACAATTTTATTAGTGTTTGAAAGAAAAACATAGGTGCAGTCAAGCTACAAATCTCAGTTGTGACTGGAAGGACAGAGATGGAGAAAAGGAAGAGAAAAGCCATTTATTTTTATTTTTATTTATCTTTTATTTAGAGTCTAAGTAGCTCCAGATAGGATCATTAACACAAGCTGCTAATTAGTGGGGTCCAAGTTGCTATCCTATAAATAGATTTAAGATTGATTTCAAGCCTTCTCTAAAGACAACAATACATCTTATGAGCATGTTGTTCAGCTTCAAAAATTTGTGCCACGACTCTAGTAAAATGCCTTTAAAAATATTAGCATGTCAAATGCTGATGAGCATGTGGCACAATCAAGCTGTGTGTCACAGTGCACACCTATAATCTCGATACTGGGGAGGTCTAGGCAAGAAGATCATGAATTTGAGGTCAGTTAGACTAAATAGTAAGATTCTGAACAAACTATGGGCTGGCAATGTAGCTTGGTGGTAGAGTACTTGCCTGTCTCTATCTCTGAACACCACAAATACACACACACACACACACACACACACACACACACACACACACACACACGAATGCACATCTGTGTGTATATGTGTTTTCCATCTAAAATTCTCATATATTGTTGATAGGTATACAAAATGGTATACTCTACTCTAGAATTCAAGAAACAGTTAAACATACATTAAGCATAGATTGAGAAATGCTACTTCCTAGGTTTTTATGACAAAGAAATGAATACTTTAGGCTCACACAAAACTCAGTGTGTAACCATTTATAATGGCTTTATTCATAATTGCTCAGAACTGGAAATAAACCAAATGTCCTCTGACTGGTGAGCCACTAAACAGACTGTGGTATAATTAAATTCAGTAACAGAAGGAGCCATGAGTATATCCAACAATACGGATGCGTTTCAAATGCATTATGCAAAGCCAAACTCCAAAAGGCATGCATTCTATGATTCAATTTACATGTTATTCTAGAAAACAATGAACAATAGGAACACAGAAAACAGATTGGTGATTGCTAGGGGATTGAAATAGAGGGAAGACTCTACAAAGGGCCTAGGGGAATTTTGGCGTGTGACAGTGTCTTTATATAGCTTGATCCTTGGGAGCCATGACACCATCTGCATTTGTCAAAGTTTGGAGAAGTATATGCTAAAATGCGTGTCTATTACTGTCTTAAAATAGTTACTCTATACCTGAGCTTCAAAGTAAAAAGTCTATAACTCAAGGGAATTATTGTTGTTGTTGTTATTATTATTATTATTGATGTGCAATGTTTGGAATCTCATCTAGGTGGTAATCATCTGGTTATTACTATGGTTTTGGTAGGGTTTGTCACCACAGAAATTTATGCCAGTGTTTAATTTCATGAGGCCTTGGTAAGTGAAGCCCAGCGGGGACGTTTGGGTAACAGGGTTACAAAATGATGATGCTATCCTTCAGGAGGGAGTGTGTTTTCTCTGTGTTTGGAATGTTCATGTTTGTCTTTGTGTTTTCTCCCATGATCTGAAGCAGCTAAGGGCTCCCTCAGAAGCTAAGACAATGAAGACTTTATGCTTTTGAACTTCCTCTTCTTTGTGAGGCAAAATAACCCTCCATTTTTCATAGTATTATTATCTAGTCTCAGATATTCTGCTATAGCAGACAAATATATACATGTGAAACAATTTATCCACTTGAACTTTATGCACCCAGTAAATGTATTTTATATCTTCTTTAAAAGTAAGAAGACAAAAACTCGTAAGATTTATACATATAGCTGGGGGAGGGGAATGAGAATGAGACATTGGGAAAGAGGGTCATATGACTCCAATACTCTGCTGGGATTCACGAAATACCCCAGCACAGTATTTGGCAATGGCAGGGAGGAATGCTCCATATACCAAAGGGGACTGTGACCAATGTCACCGTGTCATGCAACTCTGACCCTTTGTGTCAACTTGCATTTGTATGCTGTTTTTCTTCCATCTTTATTCTGTTCTTGCTTCTGACAGATACTTTTCTATTTCTAGAAATTTCTCCAACCCCTCTCTGCTGAAGGCACTGAAGAATGTCTGAGTCTCCAGGACACAGATATCTGGCTCAATCCCAAGCTTCCATACTTTGAAGCTTGATGGCCCTTGGCAATTTTTCACCTGGCAGATTTCTACTTTGTGAGTCACACAGGTATGCACAAGGTTTGCTATCTAAGGCATATTAATGATCCTCAGCAATGACTTGGAAGCAGCCCATTATACAGGGACATTCCTTTCCAGCATTTGAATGACTTCTGCAGCATATTTTTCTGGTGCAGAAACATGAGCCACAAGCACTCCACGACCTTATTATCTAGTCGTCTGTGCAGGGTCAATTGATTTGGATGGTATCAGTTCCATGAATCCTCCCCTGGAGTGCAGTAGGGCAGAAGCACAGAAACATTGCAGATTCTAAGCATTCTTCATTTCTTCCTGAAATATACAGAAATCCGAATGTGTGCCCATCCTTTCCTGGCCATGTGACTTCCTTACATATGAGCATGGTGGTCTTTTCTTGACACAAACTCCAGGATATACATGACCTCTAATAGAGAGGAAAGAGTACCTAAACACCATCTGGAACATAGGATATTTTTTGGTGGAAGTGTTTGTTGTTGGACAAGCAAGGATAATTTATTTCTAGGTTGTTCCTTCACTCCACGTTTTTGGAGTCATTTTCTCTGGGGTCCTCATTGTTGAGCATTCTCACCATTTAACCTGTTGCAATCAAACTCTGGACTTGATCCCAGAACTACAAAATGAGATCTTGGCCTTTAGTTGTCTATCATGTGCCCAAGGGGCTGGTTTGCTGTGACTAGACCATCTACCATCCATCTGTCGGCTTTGAAACACCTCTCTTATTTGTCCCAGGAATGCAATTAGGCAAGTTACTTGGCACTGTACCTTCAGCAATCTTACCCAAGGTTTAAGCCACCATAGCAAGAGCTAGTAGGTAAAGGTTTCATCAGGTGAAATGGATGAGTGGTGTGTTCTGTATCTAGCCTTAGTTATACGCAGTAGCATTCATCTCCTTGTGCAAAGGAAGTACAAATTACTATCCTGCCATCCTCAACACTGTATTGAATTACCAATACAATCAGAATCAGCACTTCTGGAAAGTGCTGATGGCCTATTTTGTACTTGTTTGTGTTAATCAATGTTAATTAAAAAGCAAGCACAGGGGTTAATGAATTATAATGGGCTTAATTAAGCTTGACAGTAACAAATGGCATAACCTCAATGTTATGGGCCACTTAAAAGAACAGAAAGGGACAAAATGGGCCAGAAAATCATCATGTAGAAATTCACAAATATATACATTGGCCACTTGCAGAAAGAGAATGATGTAATGAGTTTATTAGTTTTGCTAATTGTCAAGTTAACTACTTACAAAGCTGGCATCACGGGGAATATAGAGAATTATAAGACCCGTTCTTTATCCTTAAAGGTTTTGCAATATTATTTTTATTTTATGTGCATTGGTGTTCTGCCTGTATGCATGGCTTTGCAATCTTATTGGAAGAGAGATACATAAAGACAAGTTTTAAAATATACCACTGAAGCTAGGGAGGCTGAGGCAAGAGGACTGAGATTTCCAGTTCAGCCTGGGCTACACCCTGCCTGAGAAAATAAATTGTGTTTTGGTTTCAGCAAGTCACAAATGAGCAAGGCCACCTGTGCAGCAGAGCATGCAGAGAAGGGAGTGATCACCGCTAGCTGATACAGTGAGAGGACCAGGGAGTTAAAGCCCAAGCAAAGGACTGTTGGGAGAAGTGAGGGTGTTAGGTTTGGGGATGGTAGTGCACAGCGCATGCTCAGAGAACACTTATGCTTCCATGAGTCTGCTTCATTCACTGAAGTTCCAAATCTGGATGAGAAAAGAGACTTCCAAGGTCACTTTGCCTTGGTATCTTCAAGAATAAATGAACAATGACCATGAGGATTCTGAGATTTCAGCTGTAATTCTAAAGAAATCTGAGCAGGGCCTCTGCTTGCCAATGCTTTTCTGTTTTGTTTATTTATTTATTTATTTATCTTTTTTTTTTTTTTTTTTTGTTTTGTTTTGTTTTTTCGAGACAGGCTTTCTCTGTGTAGCTTTGCGCCTTTCCTGGAACTCGCTTTGTAGACCAGGCTGGCTTTGAACTCACAGAGATTCGCCTGCCTCTGCCTTCCGAGTGCTAGGATTAAAGGCATGCACCACCACCACCCGGCTGCCAATGCTTTCCTATCACTCATGTTTCTACGAGATTACCCATTACTGAATTGCCCTTTATGTGACCAATAACACACACCTTAAATCCCAGTGGCTTAAGCAATGGCTACAGATCGGTGTGGTAGTTCTCTTGGTCTGGATGGGGTCAGTCATTCTCATCTTCTTTCAGTTACATGTGATCTGCTGCTAATTTGGCAGGAACTAGCTGGTCTTGGGGAGTTTTCTTTACAAGTTTGGTGCTTGACTAGTTACTGGCTTTGTGGCTAGGTTTGACTGAGTCATGTGGTCATTCAGTGGGCTGCCCTGGACTTGACCACATAATAGTAATTAGCTGGGGTCATGTGTAACTTGAATCTTAAAAGGTCTTATTAATAAAAATAAACCCAGAGCCAGGTATTGGGGTGAAATATGAAAGATCAGAGAGACAGAACTGGCCACAGCTAACCTCACCTTGCCAACTTCTCAGCCGATCCTGTTTCCTCGGACTGAAAGCCTCTGAGTCCTCACCCGAATGGATCTCAGCTGAACTGCTGCTCAAAAGCCTAAAAGCTTAACCAGGCCAAAAGCTTCTAGTTTCTGGTCCTCATGCCTTATATACCTTTCTGCTTCCTGCCATCACTTCCTGGGATTAAAGGCGTGAGTCACCATGCCTGGCTGTTTCCAGTGTGGCTTTGAACTCACAGAGATCCAGATGGATCTCGCCTTCAGAATGCTAGGATTAAAGGTGTGTGCCACCATTTTCTGGCCTTTATATCTAGTGGCTGTTCTGTTCTTTGACCCCAGATAAGTTTTAGGGTGCACAATATATTGGGGAACACAATATCACTACAGTCATATGTTTTTGGGGTTTTTTATTCTTGTTGGAGGCTTATTATTACTTATGAATGCTCAGCCTTAGCTTGGCCTATTTCTTGCCAGCTTTCCTTAACTTTAAATTAAACTGTTTATCTTTTGCCTCTGGGCTTTTCCAATTCTCTTACTTCCGTAAATCTCACTCTTACTCCATGGCTTGCTGTATAGGTGGGTGGGTGGCCCCTAGGTCCTCCTCTTTCTCTGGCTCCTTCTTCTCCACTCCTCCATCTCTTTTCTCCTCCCTCCTCTCAGATTTCTCCTTCTGTACATTTTTCTCTTCCTGCCAGCTTTGCCTATCTCTTTCTCCTGCCTTGCTATTGGCCATTCAGTTCTTTATTAGACCAGTCAGGTGTTTTAGACAGGCAAAGTATCACAGTTTCACAGAGTTAAACAAATGCAACATAAACAAAAGTGACACAGTTTAAAATAATATTCCTCAACAGTCATGGAACATGAGTTTTGAAGCATGCAAGGCCTCTTGAGTCCAAGGTTTGTAAATCACAGGAAGTCAACCCTGCTGCAATCTGTGAGCCAAAGAAAGTTCCACAACCAGCTCTGAAGACAAACAGTGGCAGATTCCACCTTCAATGAAGAGGCACAGCAGAAGGATGCTGCAAGGCATGCCTGTTGGGCAAGAAGGCAATTATAACTATTTTTATAATTGGTGTTGGACATAGAACCCAGGCCTTTCACATGCTAAGCAATGATTTACCATGAGCTGCATCCTCTGTGTGATTAGTAAACCTTCACGTTCTATTTCAGGTAAAGATGCTTTCTCACTGGATTGAGAAGTGAGTACTTCTCAGAACATTTTTCTAAGGTATTTCTTTTGCTTCAGAAATTCCTTTCTTACCCATTTTGGCAGTTCAAATTTTGTCTCTCCTTCAAGGTCTGTCTTCAGAAAGCCTGAGTCCATGAGATCCTTCCCTTGCCCTTTGCAGGGCTGGGGTTGAGGGGGGGGGATGTGTTTTCTTACCCTTAAGGGGGTGAGATGCTGCCACCAACTCTATGAAGTCTATCAATTCTGAACCATTTGTGACCATAGGTATAGTTACATGCAATTGAAAACAATCTTTTTCATCTTAGTATATAAAATGACTGTAATTTAGGGTGGTCGTTTCTATTAAATTGAATCTGCTGTGATTTCTTCATTCACTTTGCTATAAAAGAAAACTGGTATTCAGGGCGACCTGCTTATAGCTTTACTGAAATTACCAAGCATGGCTGTTGTGTGTGTGTGTGTGTGTGTGTGTGTGTGTGTGTGTGTGTGTGTGATTATCTTTACAGTTACCTTCTTTCCTAGGTTTTCTTCCAGACTCCAAGGTACACATTTTAAATTTTCTTTTCTTTTTATGTTTAGTATGTATGGGACATCTAACCACACCTTTACATTTCATAACTTAGGAAATAAAAACCATGCTGGATTTGCATTTGGTGCCTATCATCTCTGCTTTTGATATTATGGCACAGCTTTTGAAAACCGGGAGAGTACTTCCCTTTATTGTTTTGCTGCCCTCTTAGTTTGGTTTCTGTTGCTGTGATAAAACACCACAACCAAAAACAAATTAGGGAATAAAGGGTGTATTCATCTTAAACTCTCAGGTCACAGTTCATCAGTAGGAGAAGTGAAGGCAGGAACCTGGATGTGGGAAGTGAAGCAGAGGCAATGGAGGAATGCTGCTCACTGGCTTGCTCCTAAAAGACTGCTCAATCTGTTTGTTTGTTTGTGGCAGGCTCTCACAATGTAGCCTTGGCTGGTCCGGAACTCAATATGTGGACCAGGCTGGCCTTGAATTCATAGACCCTCCTGCTTCTAACTCCAGAATGCTGGGGTTAAAGGCCTGGACCCACATGCCTGGCCCTTGTACTGCTTTCTTATACAACTCAGGACCACCAACCAAGGGGCTAGGTCCTCCCACATTAGTTGTTGTCAAGAAATTGCCCCCACAGACTTGCCTACAGGCCAATCTGATGGAGGTGTTTTTTTTTTTAATTTTAATTTTATTTTTTTACTTTTAGCTTGTGTTGACCAAAAGGGGGAAAAAAATCTAACCAGAACAACTGCATAACTCCTAAATTCAACTGTGTGGATAATGCTTAATGTCAGTACATATAGCACTTAGAAAATAGATGTGTTATGAAACATCAGTTACATCTTGCATCTCAACTTAAATGTGTCAGTCTGTTTATCAGAGCTTCTAAATGGTCCTGTTCATGAAAGAGCAAAACAATTTTATTCTCTAGGAGCTAGAAATAGAATAAGGTATAGTATAGTGGAAAGATTTTCCGTGTCCCACCTGGCCCCCAGTTGGGACAAATCTCTCTCACCCGAAGTCCTGTAGCTGTTTATAAAATAATCACTCAGAGGTTTAATATTAATAATTATAAACTATATGGCTTATGGCTAAGAATTCTTGCTAGCTAGCTCTTTCATCTTAAATTAACCCATTTCTATTAATCTGTGTATTGCCATGTGGCCATGGTGTTACCAGTGTGCTGGCATGTTGTTCCTTGGGCAGCAGGCTGGTATCTCCTCTGCCTCTGCCTTTTTCTTTTTTTTTTTTAGTCTCTCTCTTGGATTTCCTGCCTGGCTATAACCTGACTCGCTCTAGGCCAGAGCAGCTTCTTCATTAACCAATCATAGCAACACATATTCACAGTGTACAGAAACACATCCCACAGCAGTGTAGCTAATGAGTCCACACGCACACATGGAGGACATTGGATCGCCTGGAGTGGAGTTACAGGTGGTTATGAACTGCCAGATGTAGGTAGGTGCTGGCAAGTGAATTCTTATCTTCTGTGAAAGCAGCAAGTGCTCTTAACTGCTGAGTCACATCTTTCCAGCCTCAGAATAACATTTTAAATCCATAAAATAAACGATATGGGATCCAAAAGAAAAACCAGTTTTTCTGAAATACAAGAACCAAAATATAGAAAATAAATGTGATGAAATCATACATGTACTTTTGTTAAATAGCAAGTTATACTATCAGTTTCACAACTGGCATAATTTCAAAATCAAAATATAAGAACAATTTGAGAGACCTGCAACAGTTTCAATTTAGAACAAAATATCAGTGATTTCTAGTATCATCAAACTCTCAGCTGTTACTTCAGCTGCACCTTTTACTAGGGTCGACTATATAGAGTTAGGGTTTTTTGTTTGTGTTTTTTCCTCATAGAAATTCGAGGACTTTAACATTATTCAGTGTCTCTTCTGAGTAGCTGCTCTCCTGGCAGGTGTCCTTACCCACACTGATGCTGTGCTTTAGCGTTTGGACATCCTCATATTTGACTTCTGCACAGGTGAAGTCCTGGAAGGCTGTCTAAAATTTCTAAAACAAAAGAGGTACTAGATCATTCATTAAAGTTTGAGAAGAGCAAGCCCCTTATCTTATAATCTTTCACTCTGTAATTTCTCTCTCCCTCCCTTCCTCCCTGCCTCCGTCTTCCCCCCCCCCCCCTCTTCAAAGTGCAGAGTAAATTAATCAGGGGAGTGCCTGCTCATTCAGGTCTGTGGCGAGAAACCTCGCTGCTTCTAATTTGAAATCTCCAGGCCTGCTGTTTGGGTCCCGTGGGCCTCAGCACCTTGTCGGTTTTGTGCCCAATAGCTATGTGTTGGAAGTAGAGGAAGATTATGAATACGCAGGCTCCTGGAAATAGTGGACAGACCTGCTTACATAAACCCAAACTCGAACAAAAATCAGGTAGAGGAAGTCACAGTAACAAGTACACTACAGCTGAACACTGTCGTCCTTAAGAGTGGGGTGGATTTTGCGGCCCTTGAGTACAGAGGTCTTCCACCTGTTCTTGGTTGTTGCAAGCGGTGACAAGGCAACTAGCTTTCTGGTTGTTGAAGTCCCGCCCGCCCGAGAGCGCGTCCCACCGTTTGTCCCTCTACAGCTCCCATAGACGGCGGGCTCCGCCCCTGCCCGTGGCTGCCGAAGCGGCGAGCTGCTTAGCTAACCACGGCGCCTAGACTAGCCCACAGCTTCTGCTACTGCGCACGCTCACCCGTTCCCTCCCACTCCGAGTTTTCCCGCCTTTGATTGGTTGACTTTGCACCCATCTCTAAGCTACAAAAGTAGTTGCGTCCCGGCTTTGTAGGGCAACGAACAACGGGGACGCTCTGATTCTAACTTAGCTTGTCGGATTCTAGAAAAGCCGCTGAAATGACGATTCCTGGAGCTAGTGGACAACATGCTGGCAGACATATATTTCACTTAATCCATTTTCTAAACCCTTGGAGTTCCAGATCTGCAGGCAAGGCGGACGTCTGAGAGTTGCGCGCCCGCTAGGACTGGAAGACTCAAAGCTAGTTTTGGAGCTGGAGCCAACCATCAGGAACTCGTTTTGGCTCCCTTCAGGGAGTGTGGGAGCATCACAACTAAGCTTTCTGGAAGAGTCCATTTGAACCCGAGTCATATGCCGGGGAGTGTGAAATAACAGCGGGAGTATGAAGGTCCCGAGGGCAGAATGTTCCACTGTGGCTGGGCTAGAGACCTTGAGGGTGAGGTAGTGTAAGTCAGTAGGTTTCCCTTGTATTCAACTATCAGCAAGTCAGAAGGTCAGGGTCCTAGAGGAGGGCTGGTCTGTAAGTCCTGAGCTGCCCTGAATGGGGCCGGAGGAAGATAGAGTTGATGCCTGAGTTTTTGTGACCAGCGGGTATGTCTGGCTTACAGGTGGAGGTTAGGGTTGTAAGATGGCAGGGCTATTTGAATGAATTTACAGGAGGAGAGCCTGGCAAAAGGCCATCGACGCTAAAAGCTTTATTTAACTCTTCAAACAGAAAGCGGGTGTCCACACGTTTGATCCCCCAATGACTAAAGTTAAATTGCTAAACTCACAAAAATGCAAAAACTCCTTCTTAGATATGATTCCAGCCAATACAACATTTCTATCTGCCGAAAACATGCTCGATCCCATGTTTCCCTGATACCCTACATTGTGGGGTTTAGGACACATGCTTAGACCTTTCTGAAGAATCTGAAGACCTTTCCCTGATACCCTAAATTGTGGGGTTTAGAACACATGCTTAGACCTTTCCCCACGACTGTACGATTGTATGACTGCTTGCTTCTCAGCAAGACAGATGAGTTGATCAGCTCGGGCTGGATAAAGCCAGATCCATGTTAATGGTTGCAAAGAAGGTCCAAGAATAAGGCGATCTCACTTTCCTTGTTTCTCAGGGCCCGACTGGATTTGGCTTTTCCGGGTTAGTACGCCCCGCTGGTTGCCATTGACTTCAAGGCGAGGCCACCCAGGAGGCGGTGCTCAGGCTTCCGGGCCCCGCCCCTTCACGCCGTGGGCCGCCGCCAAACCCCGGTGCGCGGATCACGCGGGCCGGAGCCGCTCTGGGCATGCTCAGTGGCCTGGCAGGTGTGGCCGCTTCGCAACTCCAGGTCGGCCCCTGCCGAGGGGCGGGTGAGAGGGAAGTGGGCGGGGGTGCGGGCACAGTCGCTGGAGTGGCCGCCGGCCGCGGGGTGCAGGCCTGGTGGGAGCGCCCGCGGGCCGGGCCGGGATGAGCCATGGCATCGGTCAAGGTGGCCGTGAGAGTCCGGCCCATGAATCGCAGGTGAGTGGGGCCTCCCGCCCCCCACCCTCGCCACACCCCAACCCCGGGCAGCCGGTCTCCAGCTCCGCTCACAGGCCATTCTGGATTTCAAAGGGACAAACTCCTGACCCACCTGGCCCTGCCAGTGGCCCTGGCGGCCCGGATGAGTTAAGATCTCCCGCGTTGAAGAGGACTCGGAAGGAAAGTGTTCGCGAGGCTGGGGAGATTGTCACATACAGTACCCATCCCAGTAACGTGAGGCTTGCTTGTTGGCCCTTTAAAAAAAACACCAAGGGGCCACGTTCGTGAATTGAAATATTGGGGGGGGGGTCATGGAAGTGTGAGGGGTTCCCCGAGCTGCCAGGCACACCCTCTTTTGTGCCAACTCAAGACGTCTCTATGAATCATGCCACTTTTTAATCTGGAGAGGTTTCCCAGTCCCTGAACGTGGACCCAATCAGTAACTTAGCAGTTCTGAAGGTTTATGTGGGGGATGAGGAAACTTCAACAAAGTTTTGACTCCTTGAAGGAGAGTCACGTGGCATGTGTTTAACTAATGCTGATGTAAGGGGGCACAAATCGAGAACACGTTTAGAGTGCTGCCGCTCATGTTTTCCTACAAAGTAGTGCTTTGCAGTGGGACTCCCCTCTTTTGGCTGAGAACCTTTTTCAGTGACTTCCTCCTCAGTTTGGAAAGGTATGTTGAGAAAGTTAACTTTTAAATGGGCTTAACTTCAGAGACTGAAGTACATCTAAGTGGATGCCCTCCGGGTTGACGGGCAGAGGTCACACAAAACCATTTGTATTTATTGCTGTTTCAGTTCTTGGACATTTGACTTACCATATGGCCTTTCTCCCTGAGTCATACTGTCAACTTCTGGAGCTCAGTGTTTGTTGATTCTGACAGCCGATTAGGGCACCAGAAGATCATAAAATCAAGGGATTTTACTAGTCTCTCTTGAATCTCTTTTCCTATTGGCAAGTAGAAGAGCCATTATCCTGATATATAACCATTAAATACCAGCGCTTTGGGAAGTCCATGAGTTTTGTGTGTGTGATTTTCAAGTTACTTCTAAAACTTTTTAGGGAGTTTGAGGTATATATGGCCGTGTGTGTGTGTGTGTGTGTGTGTGTGTGTGTGTGTGTGTGTGTGAGAGAGAGAGAGAGAGAGTCCAGTAGAATATTTGTTTCCTTACACACCCAGTCATACAAGATAAATAGGCACCAAAGTCTTTTAGATGATTTTAAAATATTTTTCTTTAGTAAGGATTTACATTGTAAAGAGTTCTTTTTTGGAATAATATGAACATATGCTAGAAAATAGTATCAGATAACTTTAGAAAACACTTATTAAATATGTTCAAATGTACCACATGATGCTGGGCTCTGGAGTAGAAGGCAAATAAGGTGTTGGTAAGTGTCTTTTAGGAGCCCACTGGCTAATGAGGGAGGGGTGATAATACATGGACAAGATTGATCAACTTGGACCTTCTGGCAGAGGTGCTTTGAGTTCAGTGTCTTGTCAGTGTAAGCCTTGTGTCCAGGCCCATGGAGGCAGGAAACAATTACAGAAGCCATATACCTTGAGGAGACAGACAGATGTGATGTCTGTGCCCACCAAGTAGTGCTAGTGGCACCAGGATTGGGACAGAAGGTCCCAATGAACTGGACCAAAGGTGGAAATGGGAAGGTTGGATAGACACACCAAGACAGTTCCCTGGTAGACTTGGTAGAATCTGGCAGCTCATTGCATAGAAAGAAGAAGGAAGAGGGAGACTATTGAGAGTCATTAGTTGAAGTGTGATGTTCAAAGAGCTGGAAAGCTTTGAGGAGAGCATTCTCAGCCATTCAGACATGCCTGAAGTCCAGTAAGTGAGTTACCAACTCAGTGTCCAGACAGTGAGTGCTGCATGCATGTTTAACTTGTTCTTTGAAGTGTGGGGACGAGGACATCATGTTTTTTTGCTTGAGGCGGTCAGCAGATGGTTGGAATCCTGGTTAAGTCTCCATGCTTCTGGGATGATCATGCAGAACTCTGTAGAGGAGAATGAGAGTTGGAGATTGGCTATGCCTGTCTTTAGGTTTCCAGGGAGGAGAAGGGCTGGATGCCATGGAAGTGAACCAGCATAGTACACTGTTCTGACAGGAGCAAGAGTCCCCTGAAGGCTGTAGCAGCTGTTGGTATCAAATGTTACGAAAATGAAGGAGGTCCTTGGTCCAAGCGGTGTAGTTTCAGGATCCAGATCGAGAAAGTGGCAGTAAAGTATAAAGGGAGATGCCAATGGCAGCTTGAAGTATTTGACCTAATTCATAAGTCCACGGTGGTGATTGGAAGTAATTGGGTTTACCACTGCTCTGATAACTTCATTTGTAAAAAAGTTTAATATGTGGATCAGAGTTTTATCTACCAAGATGTGGATAAGGATGGTGTGGCTTCTTATAACAGCAACAATAAAAAAAAAAAAAATCATTAAGTGACCAGAATATAGAAACACAGGAGATTTGTTAAATTTGTAACTGAAGTCACGTGGTGGAATTTTTTGCAGCTTGTAGAAAGTGTGGATTCATTGTAAATGAACCAACGCCAAGTTAGAAGACTGAGCAAAGAAAGATACATACACACACACACACACACACACACACACACACACACACACACACACACACACAGTAGAATAGAGTGTGTGTATATGTGGGTGAAGATACCTTAGAGAGCCAGCTTGGCCTATGAGGAGCAGTTTATACGGGAGCTAACAGTGGTGCCTCTGTGAAGGAAGATGGATGGCAAAGATGGAATATTTTTCTTTTTCCTCTCTTACTATTTGAATTTTCACATTCATGCATAGTTGTAGGATTAATGATTATAAACTTGCTTGTGTGATTTTTAAAAGCTACTTAGAGACATTGGCTCTGGCTGGGAAGAATTTCAGGTGATTGTTGGAGACAGCTGAAGGAAGTTGTTATTTATTTGTTTAGTGGTTGTTTAAAGTTAACATTTCAAGTAAGAAAGCTTCAGGCTATGGCACCAAAGTCAGAAAGAGGCCCGGAATGAAGTGAGGGCGGTCCTGGAGCCATCGGAAGAAGAGGGGCCAGTATGAGTGTCTGAGTTCTGAGTCTGCAGCCCTCTGTCTTCCCTGTGTGAACATGATCCCAGCCATGCTTGTTTTTACTGCCTAATGGGTTATGTGGCAGGAGAAGCCATTCCAGATGCAGAGATCCTAGTTCAGTATCTGACTTGTCTGTTTTCCTGTTTGTCCTTCTTTTCCTTCTTCTCCTCCTCCTCTTTTGCTTTATACTGGGAATTGAACGCAAGGCTTTGTATATGCGTTTCAGGTTCAATACTACCGAAGTAGATGAACTAGAGCCTTGGTCATCGTTATAGTCCGTATTTTGAGACATAGTCTCCCTTTTTATTTTGATCAGGTTGCCTAGTATGGTCTTGAATTCACTCTGTAGCTTAAGAGAATATACTATGTGTCCATCTATCTGGTAGGAGCACCAAATCCTTGCACAACTTTTAGTAGTAGAGGAATATTGTTATGCTATTTTTACAGATTGGGAGGCAGTGCTTTGTAACACGAATTGCTAACCGATCTTTTAGTTTTTCAAGACAGGGTTTCTTTGTGTAGCTTTGTGCCTTTCCTGGAACTCACTTGGTAGCCCAGGCTGGCCTCGAAGAGATCCGCCTGGTTCTGCCTCCCAAGTGCTGGGATTAAAGGCGTGCACCTGGCGCTAAACGATCTTATTAATAAATAAATAAAAACCCAGAGCTGAAAAATCAGAGAAACAGAACAAGCCAGTCATGTTCTTACTTCTATGAAATCCTCAGCCTCAAGAGTGAGACTTCCTGTTTACTCACGTGCTATATACCTTTCTGTGCCCTGCCATCTTCCTTCCTTCCTAGTGCTGGGATTAAAGTCATGTGTGCTTCCCAAATACTTGGTACAAAGTCGTGAGTTCTCAAGTGCTGGGATTAAAGGCATGTGCCATGCTGCCTGACTGTGTTCCCAGTGTGGCCTTGAACTCACAGAGATCGGATGGATCTCTGCCTCCCTAGTGCTAGGATTAAAGGTGTGTGCCATCACTGTCTGGCCTCTATGTCTAACCTAGTGTCTGGCTCTGTCCTCTGATCCCCAGAGAAGTTTTTTTTTTTTTTTTTTTTTTTTTTTGGTTTTTCGAGACAGGGTTTCTCTGTGTAGCTTTGCGCCTTTCCTGGGACTCACTTGGTAGCCCAGGCTGGCCTCGAACTCACAGAGATCCGCCTGGCTCTGCCTCCCGAGTGCTGGGATTAAAGGCGTGCGCCACCACCGCCCGGCCCCCAGAGAACTTTTATTGGGGTGCACAATATATCACCACAGTACCTTAGTCCATTAAGGGTACTGTAACAAAATATACAACTGGGTGCCTAAAAAACAACAGACATTTATCCCTTGTGGTTCTGGGAGTTGGCAAGTCCAAGGTCAGTGTACTGGCTGAGGAAGGCACCTTAGCTATGTCCTCATATGGGTCAAGGGGAAAATTCCTTGGGCCTGTTTTATGAGGATGATAAACCCATTGAGGAGGGTTTTTGCCCTCCTGACTTAAAACCATGGCATTGGGGCTTGGTAAGGTTTTAGCTTCTGAATGTCAGATGAACACATATTGAGACTGTAGCACATAGCTGACAAAATAAGGGCCATACTTTAAAAAATGAGTAAGCCATTAGCAGACACAAAACTTTGCCCATGACTTTTATAGGCAGAAGTTTAACATTTTATACATTATATACGCTTTCCTTTGTGACTTCTTTTATTGTTCTGTTGATTTTGCCCTTTCTGCAATCTTACAGGTTCTATTTTTATTTTTATTATTTTTTTCTTTTTCTTTGGAGATGTAACAAGCTGGGCATGGTGGCTCACATCTGTAATCCCAGCACTCTGGAACTCTGGAAGTTGAGGCAGCAGGATCACCAGTTTGAGTCCAGCGTAGGCTATAGAGTTAGATCCTGTATCAAAGTACCAACTCCAATCTCCCCCCACTCC